TATTCTATTTCTTTCGTCTGAATAGTTAGATTTTGATCATCAAAAGTGTCTCGGTATCTCCGACATCAAATTCCATTCATTTTATGGAAATTCTTCCGACGAATATTCCAGGAATCGCGAATATTTGGGGATCTTGAGAATCAACTTGACCGATCTTCGATATCTAATACTGCCCCTATAGATTTTGCTGGTATCGCGTGCGTTAACATGCGCCATTATTCAAGTTCCGACCCCTCGAAAACTTCCAGTCCGTTTGACTCTGAGACTGCAATTATTTTTCTCATAGTTTTTATAGTTTCCTGATTTTAGGAAACGATAAAAGATACTAAGAAAAATAGGTAATATATTTTTGGCAATTCTTTGTTTTACGAGGAAGCCTTTCACTTAACATTGATACAATACAAAAGGAACGATACATTTATCGAAGCTTGTTGACGTAATTTGATTAAATTTATACGAAAGGAATTTCATGATCACTATAATTCTTTTAAGCAAGGTTTCACACTTGACACGAAAAATGGAAGGAGATCAATAAATAGAGAGAGATTAAATAAAAAAGGAGATTAATAAATAGAGAGAGAGAGAGAGAGAGATATCATGTGTTGCAGAAACTAGTCGTAAAGACATACGATTTACATAATTATAATTGTATGTCGTAACATCAATTTTTGCATTACCGTTGGTTGAATGTAAAATAAAAATTATGATGTGGTCGATATAAAAAGAGTATCGGATAGTTGGACGAAGGTCTTTTAACTTCATAATTTCGATAGGGATTGTAAGCTCTCTCTCTCTCTGTTTCTCTCTCTCTCTCTGTTTCTCTCTCTCTCTCTTAAACTCCAGCACGTTAACTCGACCAAGACACAAATTATAGGCTTCGCGAGCCCATTACAACCCTGCGGCAACCACCGTCGTCTCATCGCCTCGTCCACCTTACCCTTCCTTCCTATTCTTAACCCTACAAAGAAAGGTATTCTGCTTATGCTGGAACGCACTGGCGAATTGCTGCGTTATTCTCTCGTTTAAGCTTTCACGTGATCGTACCCAATTTATATTGGAGTACGAAAGAAAGAGAAAGAGAGAAAAAGAGAAATGGAATAGTCAACGAGTTGTCGTTTAAATTTGATAACTTACCGAGATTTTTAATACGTACAACACATTATTAAATAAGAACGCTTTTTAAATAACATGACGAGGTATCGTGAATCTCAATTTAATCCTTGTGTTTGAAAAAAATTCTGACGCTTAGTCATAATATAAGACATCAGAGTAATATAGAACTGGAAAATATTATGATCGATATCGTTATTATTAATATTATGATTATTATGACTATTACTATTATGAAGGGTTTATGCGACTTAACCCAAGTGCACTTACAACTCTACAACTTATCAAGAGCAATTTCGATAATTCTCCTATGATCTCTCTGTAGACGTTTAATCTAAAGATGGTAAGGAAATAAAGACAAAAGGAAAGCGAGAAGGGTACCGTAAGGAGGTGTGCTAAACTGGCCGATATTCCAAGTTATTAGAGTATTATTAACCGAGAAATCAAGTGGATGCTGCGTAACCGCCGATTCACGTGATGATCATGAAGATTAATCTCGACTCACTGTAAGATGCTACACGGAGATTTCTTTTCATTTGTCATTCATCTGTGTGTGTTAGTACGTGTGTGTCTTATTTACTCCTCTGTCTTCTCATTACTTCTGCTGCTGCTGTTGCTGTTTCTGACATCCACCACCTTCCAACTCTTTTTCTCTTAGACTCTTTCCTCCAGTCATCTCTCTTTCTCTCTCTCTCTCTCTCTTTTTATTTTCCTCGCTTCTCTCTCTCTCTCTCTTTTTCTTTTCCTCGCTTCTCTCTCTCTCTCTCTCTCTTTTTCTTTTCCTCGCTTCTCTCTCTCTCTCTCTTTTTCTTTTCCTCGCTTCTCTCTCTCTCTCTCTCTCTCTCTTTTTCTTTTCCTCGCTTCTCTCTCTCTCTCTTTTTCTTTTCCTCGCTTCTCTCTCTCTCTCTCTTTTCTTCACTTTTCTCTCTCTCTCTTTTTCTTTTCCTCGCTTCTCTCTCTCTCTCTCTTTTCTTCACTTTTCTCTCTCTCTCTTTTTCTTTTCCTCGCTTCTCTCTTTCTCTCTCTCTCTTCTTCACTTTTCTCTCTCTCTCTTCTTCATTTTTCTCTCTCTCTCTCTCTTTTCCTCACTTCTCTCTCTCTCTTTTCATCACTTCTCTCTCTCTCTTTTCCTCGCTTCTCTCTCTCTCTCTTTTCCTCGCTTCTCTCTCTCTCTCTTTTCCTCGCTTCTCTCTCCCTCTCTTTTCCTCGCTTCTCTTTCTCCCTTTCTCTCTCTCTCTCTCTCTCTCTTAGGGTCGCCTCTTCCGCGTTCCATCAACCTGCCAATCCTGTGCTTTCCTCGAATACGTCCGGCCATAATGGGCCACCGAGGAGAGATTCTACGTTCCTGCTTCGCCTTCGGCCTTTGAAATCAACCTTCGATGTGTTATTTCGCTATGCGATAAGAGGAAAACGTGCCTGCACGGGTAATAAACAAGAATCATCTTTAGACCAATCAAATCATTCCGATTTGATCATTTCAATCCCCCTCGAAGTTTTTTGTATCTTTGATATAATGTGTTAATTAACTTAAATGGAATCAAATTCGAGAATGTTCGTGAACTATTTCAAGATGAACAACGGGTTAATTCACAAGAAAGCTTTTTTTCGTTTTTTGAAGATCGTTCCTTCGTTTTGAAAAAATATAGTCGAAGTATCACAGGAGACTATCTGTCTGTCTGAAAGCTCTTGTGGTTATATTGTACTTTGATACGATCGCTAACGGTCAGGAATAAGCGCAACGTAGGATAAAAAAGAGAACACAAAAAAAAGAACGAAACCAAGATTCTATTCACGCGAGGGGAGAATAAAAGAGAATGAAAAATAAATGAAAAGGAAAGTCAAAGAAATGATCCTCAAAAGTATAATTAGAATTAAACAGTCAAATACGATTATGGTAATTATGAAAGTATATGGTAGGGTGTTCAATAGGTTCTTGTCAGGCTTTTCGAAGAACCAATTCACCCTTTTTCGCGGAAACAACGAAATCTCTCTTTCTCTATCCCTTTATTTTACTTTTTCCTTTCATCAAGCAACGTTTATCGTCATCCTTCTGCAACAAAAGCTTCGATAGCCCGGAGTACTCGAAGTGACGACCATGCGAAACGTTCGCCTGCGATGTGATGGAAGGAGGAATAATTTTCCAACGAGGGAGACGCCTGGCTGGAGTATTAATTCATGGACATCGCGTGACGGACGTCCCCAGATCTCCCTCTCTCTCTTTTTTTCTCTCTCTCTCTCTCTTTCTCTCTCTCTCTTTCTCTCTCTTTTTTTCTCCCTCTTTTTCTCTCTCTCTTTCTCTCTCTTTTTTTCTCTCTCTTTTTTTCTCTCTCTCTTTCTCTCTCTTTCTCTCTTTAGGATGGACGTTGTCCGATGCAAAACGTTTACTCTTTTGCCAATCTCTATCCAACCCAAGCCCACCTACCTCGTTTTTTCTCCGCAACAACGACGTCACCGCATAAACGAATATTTAATTATTCTTTTATAAATTCATATTTTAATTTCTCCTACCTTATTTCTTTGTTGTTTACAATTATTTATTGGTGTTACGTTTTCAAGGATATGTAAATTTTTTTGTTCATTAAAGATAAAGAAAAATTTGAATCTCGTTTGAATATTATTCATAATAACGTTATTAGATATTAATTATCTTTTATTTATAGTCTTCTCTGTGAAGCGATATTATCTCATTTTACATTGTTGCAATATCGTATTGGATATTTAGTCGTATATACTATTTCACGGTTTCACTGTATCGATCATAGAAACGCGAGAAGAAATAGAAGATACATTGAGTTTTGCATTGAGTTAAGAAAATAGCTATGAAGAGTATAGTAATTATGAAAGCATATCTCCATGTAGTGAGTAATTAAGAGGGAAAGATGATTTATCATCCGTACGAACGCATGTTGAGCTGTTTTACACTGGTAGAATATTACGAAGAAATGAGCATAGTACCTATCTTCGAGATACGAAAGTTTCATGTTCATTTTATATCTAACAACGGTCTTGATAACATAGATGAATAGCACTAGGCAACACGAATCGATTTAACCTCTGTAATAGACCCTTTAATGATCAAAAAACGTTTAGCATGAGTACATATTATATTTCATCGTTCAATAGATAATGGCTCTGTCGTTACATCTAAATCGTATAACAAATCTATTTAATTCATCGGCTTCTTAGACCTTTAAAATAATTAGATTCGATCTTCGATACACGATTTTAAATTTGATTGTAAAATTGTCAAGATGGCTTTTTGGAAAACTCGTCACTTTCATGGTCAACATCTAAATAAAATTTTGTTTTGTCTCTTTTCTTGGGTACAGGAATCATATTTATAGTATAGCAGGTGGTTTAAAGCTTCTATCCGTCTCTCTCATTCTCTCGTTGTTCTTACTCCAATCGTTTCTTCGAGTAGCGTCAGTCAGGGTCGTGCTTGGACTCCTTGTTCTTCTTCTTTTGGACTTTACGACGTGGCAGCCGTGATGGATCGTTCCTTAAGACGACATAACTCTTTGTCCTCCTCTTCTCCCCTTCTAGATTTCTATCCATTTTCCTACCTCGCCAATCTACAACGATAATGTTGGTGTCTTCGAACTCGCGAGATATTCCTCACCCCCAAGGCATCCCTTCTAATTGGTTACTCGAACGAAATAACGACATACGACAATACGACAGGGATCTCCATAAATCGAGTCAACGTTCTGCGAAATCGATCAGTTGATCCTACGATATAGCAATAGAAATATTAAGAGAATGACCTATGTAAACACGAAGAACAAGAAATCGTAGATATTGAATGTTTAAAAGGAATAACAATTGATAATATTTAAATGAAAATAGTAGACATTTATAAAACACGTACTGATGATTATTTTTTATTTCAGATTACATCTTCTGAGCGGTAGTCTCTTGATCATTTTCACTGGCATTCTTGCGATTGGTACCGAGGATGGTCCACAGTCCTTCGAGACTGTCCATAACAGTAACGCAGCTATCTTGAACCGTCTCGGCTTGGCACCCCTTCAAATCCCTGATGGACATCACAAGAAACGTTTAGCTGGTCCCGAACCGCCTGGACTGAATTCCCAGACACGAATTCATCAACCGTACAGTCGTCGACACGGTCATCGAGACAGTCATATTTACATCGTCAAACTACCAGCCAGTCCGCCGTACTACACGATCACAAAGCCTCACAAAACGGCAAAGGATGAAAAAGTAATCAAAACGGGACCAAATCTTCCGGTTGGTTTTCATGGTAACGGCAAGCCAGCAAAAATCTATCATTGGAACTTGCCTCTGGTGAAGAAGATAACGGAAAAGAAGAGACTCCAAGCACAATTACGAATGGACCAGGCTAGGAAAAAGTTGGAGGAGAGCAAAAAACATCAGCTATCCGAATCATCGATTTCTATCGATAGAGTCAATTCCGTTCTAGATAATCGTCAAGACATCGAGAAAAAGAAAATTATACCGCATAAGATTTTATCATCCAAACATATAAGGAACAATGATAAGAGATTAAATTATCCCGAAATAATCGATAAGAAATCAGACTCGACCAAGAAAACCATGAATAGTTTATCGACGAAGACTTACAGGCTCGATGATTCGAATATGCATAGAATTCATTTGACCAACGAACTTCACGGCTCAAGAAACACTTTGCCGAAGATGAAGAAACACCGGAAGAAGGCAGCCATGTCTTATTATGCGCCAATCACAACCAAGACAGGCTCTACTAGCATCCACAAGAATTTCTCCGGAAATGGCAAGCCTAAAGCGTTCTACGTAATAGAGAAGAGTCGTAAACCCGTCTACTATCATCCCCTGCTGCCTTAATCTCCAAAATCGTTAATCGCAAAAAGTCATGCACAATCCATGAACGACCTAAGGAATCTGTTAACTTTAGTAGATTCCTCTTCGCCACTTTGCTACTTTGGTTAAACAGAATTACGAATGGTCGTTCGTTCAATAACAAGGAAAAGAACGAGAGAGAGAGAGAGAGAGAGAGAGAGAGAGAGAGAGAGAGAGAGAGACTTAGACTATGACCTCCGTATCGATGTGTGGTCAATCATTATTCAAGGTCACGCGTATCCTACAAACCGTTCCATTTCTATCACAGTTGTTAGAACACATTAGGTTTAGGTCGAAGACGTTTCTCTCTTCGGCGGATGGAGCTTACGTTTAAGATAAATTAGGTTTAACTCGTACATACGTGCATAAAATGTGGTGCGTCCGTTCAAGTATCGAATCGATCGATTATAACTTAAGTTCAATTATTTTAAATATCTTTTTACATACTTCTTAATCTTCCCTGTAATTGTATAACTTTGATTGAATTAAGATAGGCGATCGGAATAATTGAAAGAAAAAAAAAATATAGAAGGAAGATCAGGAAGAAAGTTTTTTTATCGTGTTCATAAAGATCGATCAATCTTGAAAACTTATCAGACGCACCAAGTAAATCGACCTTACGATCTTATTTCGACGTTAACTAGTGTTTTAAAAGTTCTGCGTCGAAATAAAGTCGTGGTGTTTCTTCTTTTCATTAAGAAAATATCAAAGCTCACTTTCTCGTTACTAGATTAACGCTGTATAATTATATTTTTCTAAGTATAACGGATACTTTTTTATATTCTCGCTCGTCTGTAAGCGATTTCTTCTTGATTGAAAATAAAATCTATCACGGAGAAATCGCACGTATGGACGATGTCTCGATAAAGACTGGACAATATATTTCTTCGTGGAAGGTATGCACGTCTTTTTCTACGTCGGATCGCGCAAGGATCTTTCATTATACTGGTTTTGCTATCGAATCGCAAGAAGAAAGCGACACGAGATCGCATTTTTTTATATTCTTATATAAATACAAAGATAAGAGAGATGGACCCGTACACACACACACATATATATTTACATACATACATACAATATACATACATACATGCATACATACATACATACATACATACATACATACATACATACATACTTATATGTGTGTATGTATGTATGTATGTATGTATGTATGTATGTATGTATGTATGTATGTATGTATGTATGTATGTATACATGCCGTAGAGAAGCAATCTAATACAAACGAGCCATGTCGTGTGAGAGAAATAACATATTATGTATTTACATTGACCAACGATTTTTCTTTTTCTCTCACGATAAAGTTCGAATATGGTACGTATCTATCTGTATATGATGTTACTATCAAGATAAACATTAACACGATCGTTGGCTCGTTTTCCGTTTTCTATCGCGTTGATGGGTGCAATCCATTATTTCGCGTTACGTTGTACTTGTATATCCCTAGTAATAGTGGACATTATTTCGACTGGTTACTTATTAATAGGCATAACTATTTTTCTATCTACGTATTTTTAATTTATATCGATTAGTCAACCGTACGTAAATACTATACTACGTTTATGGGAATTTTCGATTTATTTGTTAACATCATTATTATTATTATTATTATTATTATTATTATTATTATTATTATTTTTATTTTTATTTTTAATATTATTATTATTATTATTATTATTATTATTATTATTATTATTAATTTTAAAATGCTCCAAACTGTTAGTATGATTGTGTAAGTACATATAGTGTTATATAATGACACACATACGTATACGAGCGTACACACAGATACACAATTAATATTAAAAAACAATATCGTATTATCAACTGTATGACGATGATCGTCTCTGTATTCAAAACAAAAGGAAAACTTTTTGGCTATACGTCATAATTAAAGAGAATTGTAGAAATCTTATGGGAGTAATCGTATTATATGTATATATTATTTCGTTCTCTTCACTAAATGAGAGCCACTGTTTGCAACCCGTTATAGCATACTTACGATAATATCAGAAAGCAGTAACGCAGCAACGATGGCGAGAGAAAGACTTCGTCCGGACCCGCGGGCCTGTATTTTTTGGTAATTGATCGTATAAATTCAAATTTGCAGGAGGAACAAGTTTTTCTTCGGTATTAATGCCGCAAGAAAATTTCTGGTCGAGCGTGATTACCGAGAATGAAAGACAAGAAAAAAAAAAAGAAGAAGAAAGAAAAGGGTAAGAAAAAGAACGATCCTTTTTACAGCAATTTGCTGAATTCAAGGGGAACCTATCTTATCTGTGTTGGTCAATCGGCGAATGTTAATTAGAAACATGTGTGTCTTGTTTTTTCTCTGACTTAGACTGTCTATTATCATAATCTCAACTTTATCAAAAGTAATTCGAGTATCGTGGGTTTCGAACGATTTATTACGTTTTCATAAAGTACCCATTGTTCCTATTTACACATTTATCATTACCGTTCGGTTTAATGATAAACGTTGGAAGGAGAAAATACGAAAGGAGAATAAAAGAATAAAAAAAAAAAAGAAAAAATATGAAAAGAATAGAATCTTTGTTAATACAGACCATTTCTGATTGATATCTTTGATAATTAAAATTCTGAGCCTTCAAAAGATTAAATATTCTTCGGTTAATCAAGGTTCGAGAAAGAAAAAAGAAAAAGAAGAGAAAAAAAATCAAACGATTCTCTTATTTTAAAACAATACAAGACTAATCTTAGCAAGGAATCTTAACCGTGTAATCTGGTCCACAAGGTATGTGGAATGCTAAGCAAACGGGCCGTATCCTGGGGTCCCTAGTCCCAGGTTAATATTTGCGTTGCGTTCAGGGAGAGTGGATGAAACATGTGCTGCAAGATTGTTTATTTTTCTGTTTCCTTCTTTTCTTTTAGACGCTAACGAGCAAGCAAGGAGAGAAGAGACGGTCAAATGGAATTTCAGGGAAAACGGAGAGACACCATTTCTTTTTACACTACGAATATATTTCTTTTTCTTTTTTTCTTTTTCTTTTTTTCTTCTTTTCTTTTTATTTACAGTAACAGATACAACAAGTGGTAAGACGTATAAAAATGGCTACAACAACGTCGTCCCTCTTAATACTCTACATGATTATGAGACGACAAAAATATATATTTACGTATATGTGTACCAGATGGAAAGGATAGAGAGGAATAGCATGATCGTTGATAAATAACTTCACGTTATACCTACTACTTACATATATAAAATAGTCGTTCACTTTAAAATCACTTGATCAATTTCTTAAATTAATTGCTATATTATAAAATTATAATTTAATAGCCTTAAAATTTTTTTAAAAATTACACAATTTGTCTATCATGCTACAATAGTTCGCGATCGTAGTTCGTACAACAAAATACATAGTTATTATTACTTACATTTATACAATGTACATATACGCATACTACATTGATCCATTAGATATAGATAATAGTGTTATTTCTCGTATACAAATCGTTCATTCATTGTCAGTTGTGTTCATCGTCAGTGAAAAGTTGGCTTAGAATTATAAAGAAGATAAAGAAAGAAAAGTGAAGGAAAAAGAGCAGACGTGAACGAAGTCACGTGAGAACTCATTAATTGATCGTTCGTACGTAAAACTACATAATAAGCCACCTTTAAAAGGACTGCTTTAATTACATTACCGTTACTCTCCACTGGCACCTCGTTTACTGTACACACCGAACCGTGTAGTCCATTTGAAAGCGGAGTAATGGCTAGCACCTTTACAAGGTCATCGACGAGACATAAATCACTGAACGAGCCTCCTCCCTTCTCAATAGAAGTGGGGTTGGTCGATAAATTATTACAACGCGTTACGAGTCGCGCTTTAAGCTGTAAAATTAGTAGCAGATTTTCACCGTTCGCCTATAATAATAATAATAATAATAATAATAATAATAATAATAATAATAATAATCATAATGATAATGATAATGATAATGATGATAATAATAATAATAATGATCATAATAATAGTAATAATATTAATAATATTAATAATATTAGCGAACATCCATTTTTTTCATTTCTCCGGTAGGTTTGGCGATTGAAAATCGTATTTGCATTATTTTATTTAATACGAATTATCGTTCTCGAAATCGGAGTATCGAATAGGCCGATGATCGGTACTGGTACCATCTGACTTAAGAAGATACAAACTGGTTGGTTTTCCATTGAATAGGTAAGGTCCCTTATCGAGACTATTCACGTAGTCGTTGGGCCTTTTGCCAGGTTTTAAATTCGTGTGCCATTGATAGATCGTCGTTGGCTTGCCGTTATTCACAAAACCGGGTTTGAGATCGTCGAGATTGGTGATCGGACTGTCGGTTGATAGTTTGACATTGGTCACAGGTTTCTTCTTTTGCCATTGGTAGACGGAAGTTGGTTTACCGTTACTCACGAAGTCTATCGGCAACTTGATAAAAGGATTCGGTCTCTGATAAGTTGGAAGTTGAGGTTTGGGTGGTCTCGACTGAGAGATATGCGGTCTTAGGTTAGCAGTAGAGTAGGTTGGTGGTTGAGAGATATATCCTAAACCTGGTACGAACATGTAGGGAGTCGGTGGTAATCTGATGTAAAAGATATTGCTCTCTTGATAGTTTCCACCTATATTATTGGGTGTCCTTCCTTCGACATTAGGATCGTAAATATCGTTATAACCGATATCGTAACCAGGCGAGTTCGAATAGGTCTGTTGTATTCGTGATATTAATGGATAATTCAAAAAGATAGCCTTCTGCTTTCTATCTTTTTTCGAAAGCTTATCCGCAATCTCTTCCTTATTTTCTTCTGTTTTTTCTTCGTTTCTATGATATTGATTTAAAAATGACGAAATTGAGCTATCACTGTCCTTCATTATACCCTTTCTGAAATATTTCTTTGCTTTATTTCCGTCGTTATCATCGTCGTTATCGTCATTATTGGCCGTCAATGTTGCCGAAGAAAGAACTGCTCCTTCGTTTTGCTTAGACAATTGATTTCCAGGTAATTGTTGAAGTGAACCCGCCGTTACACCAATCAATATGGGAACCAAGAAGACTAGCGATGTCATCATCGTATCTGAAAAAGTCAATGAACGTTGGTACGAAACTTGAACCATAAAAGGAATCCGATCGAGTTACGTGTGTTATTTATTACAGAACTAATAATCTATGAATCAAACGATTCATAGTATGATAATTTATGAATCATACGAGAGTAAAACGATTATTAAACGATTATTCATTGAATTTCGATTACTTTCGACTCAGTCAACGTCGTCGAATTGCTTTACCGAAAGAAAAACATTCCTTTTCTTTTTTTTTCTTAATTAAAGATAAATGTATTTTGTTCCGTTATACCTAACATATGTTTAGAATGCGAAAGAGAGAGAGAGAGAAAGAGAAGATATCGACACTTTTTAAAGATTCATTGACCTTCGAGACTCGAGGTTAATGCTAGACTACTTTCGTTCTATCTCTTTCTTTCTTCCTTTCGTTCAACCAGTACTGAACGTATTCAACGTAGAATAAATCATGTCCGTTAGTCAGTTTTTGTGGGTAGAGAAAAAAGGAACGGAGACAAAGTCAAACGTGGCACTTAGAGAGCCCTTTGCAAGTACCTTTTGCCCATTCGTGTTTTCTTTTTCCTCATGTAGTATCTTGGTAAGAAACAGAAAGAAAGAAAGAGGGGAGAACAAGAACAACGAGAAACGGTAATTGAAAGCAAGTTATAAAATCGTCGAGTCACGCATTCCGTGTGACGAGTCTTACACCATTTCTACGAAATGTTGTGGACCTTGCCGAAGGTCGAAGAAGAGTGAAAAATGAAGATATTCGTTAAACAAAATTTTAAAGGATATCGAGTCACGTTTCTCATAAATTACTCATATTATTTAAATATATATTATTTGTCGATAAGAAAAAACTAGTTAAATATAGTTAAGATGATAGCACTGAATAAGGTGGCAATGACGACTACTCATTCGTAGATCTTCGAGTCATCGACTTCCGGTCGTTTATAGTAAACGATCGTTCGGTTTTTCATTGATCGACGTTAAGAAGATTGTTCGATGATACCTCGCGGCGAAATTTCCAGTGGACGTTTATCGAGAGTACTAATAACGTCGCAATTTCGAGCTCATAAACGACCGACAGCCAACGATTTTGTAGTTTGCATAGCAATAGGTAGTATTCTGGTATTGTTATTATTCCATGACACGAATTATCTCTTAAATTAGATTGTATCTCATTAGAGCTCATGATGGTACTTAAAAATCTTTCGTTTAACCGACCATTATATGTTTTTTATCTATAAAAACATCATGCCAGTACATTCCACAGTTCTGTCTAAATATTTTCTTTTTTCTTTTTATTTCATCAAGTGATTAGCTTTTTTATAGACAAACGGTCATCGTACTTAATGATAGCCTATTAAAGTTTTCTTTCATTATACAATTTATAAAGAATAGTTTAATTTATTTTTGTTTAAATTATTTTTGTTTAAATTATATAATGATACTTTTTTGATGTTTAAATTATTAAGAACGTATCAATTCAAAACAAGTTAAAAGAGCTACTATTGCCATCTATCAGTAAATTTAGTATTCAAGTAAAAAGTGGATCTACGTATAGCATTATCATTTAATAAATAATAGTAATAAGTTATTATAAAATGTATAATATAACACTCAAATAACACAAAATTATTAACATTCAAATTATTAACATTCTTTATTTATATAGAAAAATTATAGAGATCTACATTATCCACTTTCTTTGGAATATATAGAAATCTATATTACCAACAAAAGAAATTGTCTCGCTAGATACAACAAATTTACCGATAAATTCTCGTATCTGATTAATTTTTATCAAATTAATATATATTAAACGTGCAATCAGTATCATGATAACTTTCTTTCTACAAAACTTACGTGTTTTTTCTCAATTATTTCATTAAAATTGTTCCTAAAAAATTTATACGATCGTTAAAAATACCAAATCGTTTCATTCAAAGGAGTACAGGATAACAAACTTCGCTTTTTTATTTTTTTTTTTTTGTAAGATATTATTATTATATATAGTTAACGAACTTATTGTCAGTCATAACGATAAAAACGTACTAGTTTCTATGAAATATATCTGATAATAAGAAACTCGTTCGATCTGCTTTAAATTGCAGGAAATCATATGACGCGAGTGTTTTTCAAAATATTCTTCGTTAGATATTAGACACGTTATTGACGAGTCATCAAGCACAGGAAATTTATCTGTACGCTCGTCATAGGTACGTTCAAAGTCGACACTCTTCTTTTTCTGATCCACCTCGATCGAGGAAAAAGAAACGCGAACATCTCAAAGCCGGCGTCCATCAAAGGTCCAGTGGCCAAGCGTTGTTCACAAAGAGATTCTTCATCTTATTCGATACGCTGGACCACACGATGTAAAGATATATATGTTCTTTGATCTTCTAAACCGATAAGCCAAATTACGAAATGTACCTGTTGTGTCTTTTTTCTTTGTCTCTTTCTCTCTTTTTCTATTTCTCTCGAATTATTTATATTTGTCTTTTTTTTTTCACTATATTTAGACAATCATTGCATCGATTTGAAATAATTCATCTTCATTATATATTCTTATTTGTTATCTTCTTCCTTTTTATTATTCTTTTCTTCATTTTCTATTTCATTTTTATTTCTCTTATTATGTGATATTAGTTTTCCTGTTTTTCTTATAATTTATCACTCTTTCTCTCCGTTCTTTATTGTATGTATGCACGTATGTATGTATGTATGTATGTATGTATGTATGTATGTATGTATGTATGTATGTATGTATGTATGTATGTATGTATGTATGTATGTATGTATATATGTATGAATGCATGTATGTATGTACGTATGTATGTATGTATGTATGTATGTACTTGATTAAGTACTTTCATGGTAATAGTGATAAATCCTATTGATTTGTCGAAAGAAAGTAATGGCATTGGCGCGTGCACCAGTCTTATCATTTGATCGGAGAAACGAAACAGTAGGTGTATTCATTCGAACTAAACCCGATATAAGATTTGTAAGTTAGTTAAATTACTTGGCCTATTCGACAGTTTTTAATCGAGTTCATTAACGACATGAATAACAGCGATTCAGTTTCCTGTTAACCCGCTTTGGTCAATTGATCGAAAAATCTTCGAAGATTATTTTCAATAACGGTTCGTCCATAATACGCATATAAATATTTAACAGTATATATATATATATATATATATATATATATATATGTATATATATTTATGTATATGTATATATATTAGTATTCCCACGAAATTCGGCGTACATATATCACTGATAAAACTAATTATTCCTTTTGACGTTGTTCCATTAAATCTTGTTATTCGAACGACACTTCCTACGTCAGTGGCAATTAAACGAATTGCTTGCAATCGATGGATCGATCGATCAATCATTCCTTTTCGATTAATGCATCGCGTTTTCTTTCCGGATGGTTCGATGTTAAACGATAAGCTACCTTTTAACGATCTCTTCTCGTTTCGTTGCGTTGCGTCGCGAGCAATCTGTCATTCCACACAAGATTAATGATATCTCATACGGCTCGCTACGTTTGAACGAACTTTCTACGGATATTCGTTCCTTTGATTTCCATTTCCTTGTGTACCTACTCTTCAATAATTTCAAGGATTTACGGAACGAAGAATACAGAAAGTAAATCAAACGGTTTCATCATTGATATATTTCGAATTAAAACATGATACTATTTTACTTTCTTCTTTTTTTTTGTTTTTTGTTTTTCAAACAATGATATAAGATAACATAAGAAATGTAGATATATATACGTGTATACATGATCACAGAAATATTCTGACATTTCCTAAAATCGAATAACTTTCTTTAGATTAGTAAAAATAATTTGAATCGGCATTATTTTGAATATTTAATTTAATGATCACATTCGTACAAATACTTGACGTATCTCATATTTGCAATAATAATTTCTTTATACCTATTGAAAATTTGTAAGTTCTTTGTTTATTTTAGGAAAAAAAAAAATTTTCAGCGTGAAAAAGTATCGGAATATCTTTGTGCCCGGCTATATGGTAGAATGTCGGATACTTGTATGCGTCGGACCAGTGAAAAGCGTACAGAAGCAGAAAAGACACGACGTCGGGGCCTTCCACATGCGTACGTGACTCGGGACTCATTACGCGAAACGAAACGAAATAAACTTGGAAATCTCGCTTATCTTGAATGCTTACGTCGTACATCGGAAAGGAAACGATTCGATGTTTCTATTTCTAGTTTTAAAGATCATTTGACGTACTAACATACACGCGAAAGCTGCAAAATACCATCCAAAGATATTTTTTTCATTGTTGACTTCCACTAGGAAGAATCTTTTTTTTTGTATTTGAAATTTCGATTACGGACTTATTCATTATGCCGAGCGTGCTCAGATTACAGAACGCCATTTTTCTCTTTACTCACTCGAGCCTTCTTAACCATCCAATTTTACGCTACTGATTTCTCTACGGTAAAATCGTAAATACTCGCATAACCTGTATTATAAGTTCCTGTCAGGATGTAGCGCGAAGAACGAAGAAAAATAATAGGAGAACAATGAAGGTGGTTCATAATACTTCAGACAGTAGTAGTGTACACGATCGAAGAAAAATAAGAATAAACCGACAAGATTAACAGTTGCCATCAACCCCTTCTTAAGTTTGTTTGATTTATCTTCGTTATGCTTTATAGACAGTAAGAAATTTCTCTTTTATATATACCGGAAAAGGTATAAAAGATGTACTGTAAATATTCATTGAATTCGTTTTGATATTCTCTATAACTTTTGTCAGGCTTAAAATATCGATTTCCATAAAAAAAAATTATTATAACATTCGTATCTTGACAATAGCGCTCATTTATAATGTTACATTTCCCCCTTTAAAACATATTTAATTGATATTTAATTGAAATATTTATTTATAAAATCGATAGGATCGAAGATATTTAGTCAGATATTTTTAAAATGAGATATCTGATATATGTATCTAAAGATAAA